AATGCGGTGGTTACGAAACAGCAAGCACCAGTTCCCCGGGTGTCATATATTCACCCAACTATCCTGCCCCTTACGGCAACGACATGAACTGCACCTGGGGCATAGCCAACTCGCAGGAAGGGATGGGGATAAAAATGACAATAGCAGAGTTCTCTCTGGAGGAAAGGCGTGACAAATTATCAATCTACGCTGGAGACCACGTATCTCATAACGCCTTATTGGGAGAATACAGCGGTATGATCACTGCATTACTGATTGCCTAATGTCAAGACGTAATCTTAATCTTATCAATACTGGATCAAGACCCTTCTCGGGTATAATGTCCTAGGGGAGATCTTGGTGCGCGACTAAGAACGGCCGGTGGTGGAAGTATTTGACTGTTTAAACACGGAACTAAGACGTTTTATTCTTTTTTTTTTGTAAAAAAAACAGTACATAACATTCGAAGTAAACTGAAACAGCCAAGATTTATACAGGAAAAAAACAGAAAGAATACCTCAAACTTATTCTGGAACACTTTAATGATTTGAGACCGCAATACTGCAATCTCATTTACAATTTAGGTCACAAACCACTCAAATATTACGAAATAGGCAAATGTTTGTTATCTGTGGACTGTCCAAGTATTATAGAACAACTCTCCTTACATACCCTCTGCCACCAAGGAGGTTTGTTTTTAAACCTTCCTGGTGCCACAAGGACTGTTGCCACGGGCCTTAGAAACGAAACTTGTATCGGGCATTTCCACCATTTCCCGCAGGCGCAAATGGCCTGTTTTTAGTAGTTTGGTGAGAAACCAACTGTAGACAGCCTTTTTCTTGGTATATCTTGCTAACATTGCTGGCATTTTTTTCACATTTCCTTGACAAAATGGCCTTTAGGCTTGCTTATGATGAAAGAAGTGATGCTACGTACAAGATGTCTTAGATGTTTAACATATACATGGATGTTTAAATTCTAACCTCCTTGTCATATATTTCAATTGGAGCTTGGAATGGTGGTTTGTGTCCTATCAGTAGCAGTACGGCTTTGGAACATCAAACAGAAACGTTAAAAAACGATAACATTTCTGATGTCTGTGTTATTGATAAAATCGATTTTTGTTTGTTCTATTTCTTTTTACTTATAACTATGAAGTTAACTTTTAGTATACCGGATAATGTGTAGGATTTATACTGTCCCTCTAAATTGTATAATCGAAGCTGGTAATTGTGTGACGCCGAAGGGCGGTTATACCGTCTATACAGCTACAGATACAATACATATTGTATTTGGGGCGCAATTCGGGATAACCAGGCCGAAACAATATCCTGCAAGTAGCTTTTCCAACTTCCTCATTATCATCATTATCGCCACTTGTCGTCATTTGTTGTCTCTTGCTAATATCGTAACGTACCTTCCAAGGCATTGCCTGCAAATAGTGCAGTGTTTATTTACTGTTTGCTCATTAACCTTCTTATTAATAGGCAAAGATATTCCTGAAGAAGTGATCTCCACAGCAAAAACGATTCACCTAGTCCTGACTACAGACGGATCAATTAAAGAGGATGGTTTTAAGATCCATTTTGAAGGTAAGTATGAAACTTACTGGAATTACTTGAGAAGGTTACTAACTTTTTTACTAACTGTTTACAGGGCAGATTCACGTAAAGCACAGTATATTGTGATATAAATTATGCCATTTGGCAGCATTCATTAATATAATTATATTGCCAACAATGTTGTTCATTATGTGGCAAAACTACATAACTCCAGAAGCTTTAGGTGAATTTGAATGAAACTGGTCCATGGTTGGGTGTGGTAAATTTGACTGAAACGTGAATTGGCAATACTCAAATTTAAGTAACATATATGTGGGTCGCTGTGTGATAATTGATAATTTGTGTATCAATTATACAATTCAGGTCCGATTTGTTAATATTTCAATTCTTACTCTTTTTGTTATAGGTTACTTAAAAAATACTGTTTTGCATCAGTTCAATACTACAATGCCATAGAAGCCACTTTAAGGCCTTTGATAGGTAACCTTCGCTCATTCACCTACGCTCATACAACATTTCATTCAACAAGCCAATAGCTTCTTGAGTTATGCTGGCCTAATGCTGCTCTGTTAAAACACACGCGCCCAGGCACACAAAAGTTTTGCGTTGATATAGGTATTTGACTATAGGTGATTGAAGTTAATATATACCTGCATGGGACAAAAAGTGAACTGATTTTGTGCACTAGCATTTTATTTGGTGGAAGAGCAGTGTCCTGCACTAGACGTTCCGATACACGGCTACATGATATATGACAGTTTTGCTGTGGGGTCGACTGTGAAGTTTTACTGCAATGTAACTGAAAACTTGTACACCGGCTTAAGAGGGCCAGAAGAAATTACATGCATGCCTGGAAAGACGTGGAGCAGCCGTCCTCCAACCTGTAAAGGTATGGAAATTTATCCGAAAATAATTTCATCAGGTTGGTAAACGAATGAAAAGCAAAGTTCTTTGATCACAACCACTTATTTCACGAGCCGACTTTTCGATGACCGTCTGTCATCTTCATCAGGGCAATTCTGACTGGTTTTAAACTGTCAATGAAAGTTAAACAACGTTTGATGCTAGTGTATCACTCTCTCCGTTTACATACAGATATGAAAATGTGTGGTAGAGAACGTTTGTACGTGGAAGAAGGACAAATCATATCACCAGGAGAATTAGTATTCTTACCCTCTACCCTATACTATTACTATGATTACCCACACAACATGGATTGCAGGTACTCCATTCAAAACAGCTTACCTTAAACTGCAATTCACTGGCAAAGTTATTTAACTAAACAATAACAATAATTCGACTAAATGCGGTGAAATACAGATCACGAATTCTATCTATGTATCGTTATGGCAAGGAATATTGGAAGCTGCTTTGATATTTTTCTCTAAGCTACATACCGTACAGTTTACTGCCTGAAATTAATAAATTTCTTTAAAATCCTTTGTATTCTGAACTCAGCTGGACAATCTCGGTAGATCCTTCTTCGGTTGTGGTGTTGGAATTCCTATCTATTTACATCGAGTATGACGGAAGGTGTAAACGTGACTGGCTTCAAATAGTTTACTTTTATAACAAAGGTAAGTTTGACAGTACTTTTGTATATATGCATAGTTTGATTAATCTATGAGGGACAGTTGGACATGATTAGTGTGAATGATTTCTGCTCATTATCATAATCAATGCCTATCACACAAAATGACTCCAAGCAGCCACGTTGATGACCCTTGACCCGAAGTTTCATAGCCAACTAGGTCTAGGGTCATAATCTTTGAGTTGCCTGATTCAACTTGTTGCTGTTTTTGAAAGGGCAACATCAAACTCAAGCAAACTTATTACCTGGCGAAAATATTGAGGACAACAAAAGACTCACATGTAAAAAATGCTGGGGTCAGTTTTGACCCCGCTGGACCGGGCATAAACTTTCTAGGATAACTCAATCAACAATGAGCAAATCACAGTAAAAACGAATGAGAAGTCATAAGACATATACACAAACTCATAATAAGAATTTTGTTTTCGACAATAAATGTCGAAATGCACATATTTATATACGCCTGGGGTCCGTTTTGACCCCATACGATGGTTTGAGGGTTAATTAAGTAAGACGAGTTTACTAATGTTCTGTCTCTGTTTCTTACGGTACGCCAACCCTCCCCTGCCATATATGGCAAGTCTCTTAAGCAAATCTGTTTGAAGGAAACTGTTTAACTGTTAACATGTTTTCCTATTCTATTCAGAACGGATTGTTCTATTTTTGTGTATTGACTTGTTTAATGATGACTATTTTGTTCTTTCTTTTGTTCTTACATTACATCGAACGACTTGCAATTGTTACACCTAACATCTAACTCTAAAAATGTTAAAGCTATGTAATAAAAATGATTCTGCTGTACTTGGTGACTGAGTTCCACAACAGTTCTAGGAATTGTTTTTGAACACCTCAATCCTTGGTTGATAACTGTGGTACTTGAAGACATTATTATATGTATTAACAGAAACAAATACGGGTTTGTATGGAAAGGTAATCTCCAACCAGATACAGTTTGACATGGATAGCTGATCTCCAAGCAGATACTGGGTGGAATGAATATATTTTTCTCCAAACGCATACTTGTGTCGATAGGTAATCTTCAAGAATACTGAAAAGCACTTCATTGGGGGTTTTGACAGTCCTTTTTACGGAACTGCACTTAATTAGGTTTTTAGGAGCCTTTCTAGACTAGCTATATATCCTTAATCAACCTCCTTTGCTTCTTCTTTTTTTAAGAATTCAGCCAGGTGTACTGTGGCTGGGTGGACGCTGGTAGCGTGCATGAGTCAATGACATCAACCGTAGAGCTTGACTTTCACAGTGACTACATGTTTACTTACGAGGGATTTCACATTCACTACTATACGAAGGACAAGCCTGAAAATGGTAGGCCAATAGGATTTCTAAACATTTCTCTAATCAATCTATGGGAAGGACGTAGAAGGGACTACTGCGCCTTTGCGATGCCCAGGACGTAACATGCATATGCTTGGGCCACATTTTCAGGGCCCGACTGAGCGTAAAAGAGAAACGTTTACGCAAATTGTAAAGCTTTGGGGTTTTTTGTTGTCTTTTGTATCGTACTTCTCGTTCTTTCAAACTTCCCGACCGGACTATGGGTTGGGGCTTTTTAAAAAATAAAATTACAAAGAAATAATGACAAAGTACCGTTACAATGTTCTATCAGACATGTACTTGAGGAGTTATCGCCTTGTACTTACAAGAGAACCTCTTTTCTGGTTTAAAGTTGAATGGATTCACCATCTGTTAGAAGAGGCTGGCTCATTTCATTCCAATAACTACCCACATTCGTACAGGAACAACTTGTATCAGGAATGGAGCATATCAATCGATGTGGGAAAACACATCAGACTTATGTTTACGTACTTTGATGTCCAAGTTACCGAGGGGTGCACCTCTGACTATATGATTATTGAAGACCCTTTAAGTCTGGATGAAATGCACCACTGTGGTACTTGTATCCCAACACCCTACATCTCCGTAGGACACACCCTTCATGTCTTCTTTGTGACAGACTTTGCCATCTACAGAACCGGCTTTTCAGCAAAGTATGAAACAGTGCAGGATAGATCAGGTACGTAAATGTTCTTAACAAACCTTATGAAGTGCTATAATCTGTTATCGAGTATGTGACAAATATTAGCAATAGCATAAACGATGTGGTACATATTAGTGCCAAGGTGATTTACCCTCCACCCCCGCTCTCCCATTTTCCCGTTTAACTCCCTCATACTGTTTCGTTATTTTGGGGTTCGATGGTGGATTTCTTGGGGGGGGGGTCAAATCACGGGGGTAAAGTATATGTTATATAATTGTTCAATTTAAAAAAATGTTCTTGTATTTGAGGTATTTAGTGCACTGGGAAGCATTTCAAAATGTAAACTTTCCAACGTTTTGAATTCACTTTGTGTAATTGTTTCCCCCATTTCTAAGATTTGCGGTTGATCAATACATTTCCTTTAATCATGTTAAAGACGTATGTATCGCAATAGATGCCTGATAATTGAAATACAATCTTTTCTTAGCTAAGATTTAATCCCCCACCCGCAGCGTTAATCCGTGCAATCACATCATTTATTGGTATTTAATCAGAAACAAATGCACATTTAAAGAACCTCAAGGAGCCTTTCTAAAACATTAGAATAAAGTATGAACAAAGGTTATATTTAAACGTTTATATCCAAAGAAATGGTACTCTGCTTACTAATCTCCAGGCAGTGTGGAGCCATCTGCTTCAAATGTACTCTCGTCTGATTGGCTTACAATCGGTGATAAAATAAAACAAATCAGCGTCAGTACATCTACCAATCAGGTGTGGGCACTGGATATCGACGGAAAACCGTTGCGGAGGACGGGTATTTCACAGTCAACACCACAAGGTGAGAAAATGAAAGGCACTTATATAAATCCGAGGCGTTATCAGAATATTGTTGCTCGAACACATTTACTTGCAGGGTACAAGAACACACACACATTTGTACGATTGGGTAAAAACAACATTCAATCTTAGCAGTGAAAAGAGTTTAGCACAAATTAAAAGCAAATGCAAACCATTTTTTCTTTCTTATAGCAACAGTTTATCGATTTTAGTATTGATATATTTGGTAGTCATTAAAAAAGAAAATTTTTATACCCTCTGGCTCGTACATTAATCCTTATGGACCATTTAAACTTGGCCCAGGGACTGGATGGGAGGTGGTCGGAACAGAACAGTTTCTGTACATCTCAGTGGGACGTGTTGGGGTGTGGGCAGTCTCTGACGACTCCACTGTAATGTACCGCAAGGGAACATTCAGGTGAGTAATGTAAATGTTACCACACATTTTGTATGATTGAGATTGTAGTAACTCCATAGACAGGAAGTGGCTGTCTGTATTCTCACCTTCGTCATGAGCGTAGGAAGTTTGCCTCAAAATCTTAGACTGTTTTCTTAATTATGAGGGTCTTGCTGATGCATCAAGCTAAGGTAGACGAACTTCATCGCAACATCATCTACTAAGCATAAGTTTGAGGCTTACTCCTTCAAGTGTGTGCGTGCGTGTGTGTTTAACAGAACTTTGACTGTGGTAAACAAAAAATAAATAAAATGATGTTTTACCGCATGTAAACGCTAAAATAAATAAGAAATGGTCATTGACAGGACGCTTAGATAATTGTCCGAGAAACTGTACTGTTTTCAGGGGCGCAGGAACAGCAGGTACGTCCTGGCAGGCAGTTCATATCGACTCCAAAATCACCAGCTCACTCTTCAACTTCAAACATTCCCAGTAGAAATTGATTGGCGTGGACACAACATAGACCAGAT